TTTCCCCTGGGTCACACAATATGTGATCCAGGAGACGTGTGACCCAGGGGAAAAAATGTATGTTTTAGAACATAACCTCTTTACTGTTTTAAAGATAAAAATTTCTTTTCATTTTCTACTAAAATCCGTTACCAAATACATTGCCGCAAGGGGGCAGCACCAAAAAATGTGCGCTTAATTCAAAAGGTCATTTATAAAAGGTGACGTGATCTAGGGGACCAAAATCAAAGGACAAACGTTAGGGGTTATTTTAACCACTTCTATTTTTAAATATTACCACAAATGGGCTTTTTCTGTAATATTTGGAATATATTCTCAACTATATAAAAAAGGAGGTTATTTTACTCTAAGATGTTTAAATAGCATTAAGTAGTGAATATTATTGCAAGTGGGACAGCTACTTTTCTGTACTGTTGAGGAAAGTTTAATTTTTTGTATAGGATTAAATTTAAAATTTTGCTAATATATAGTTGCTAAAAACACTTAAACCAATAATCAATTATTGATTTCGCTTAGTACAGTTCCAAATGGCGTTAAACTCAATTTTTTATAAAACAATAAAGTTGAAGGACTGCAAATGGACAAGAAATTTTAACTTTTCTAATTAGCTTTCACCTCAAACTCAAAACAATATTATAAATGTCTTAAAACTCTTAAATCGTTGTCTTAAAATGTCGTTAAAACATCTTAAAACTGTTCGTCGCTACTACAGATATAAGTGGACATATGAGAAAAAAAATAAATGCGTTAATTAAATATATCTCCTACAGCCCAGGTCTTTAATTAATGCATATCTTCTAAAGATATTTATATTGAAAAATTAATGAAGTGCCATATAAAGTTTTGTCGTGTTTTTTCGTTACAATACCTTTTTAAAGTAATTTTTTAATTGTAGTGGACTTAATTCGTTTCAAGAGCATAATAATTTGATTTTACAACTCATTTTAAGATTTTAAATAACACTGCATAAAGAAATGTCACTGCAACTGTCAAAAGCGAAATGCGTTACCACAGAAACCAACTTGCAATGTTGTCGCGTTTAAATCCCATTTTTACGTTTTTTTACTTTACGTTTCTGTGTTACAATATATAAATATAAATAAATTTAAACACTCCTAGTATATTTTTGGTAAAAATATAAATAAACTGTTTTAAATTGTTTTAGGAATGTCTAAAATAAACTAAAACTAAAAACTATCCAAGACATTTGAGAATTTTAGGGTAATAGGAGTAAACGATTTTAAATAGGGATCTGTAAAATAACAAAATATTAACTACACTAAAAAGGATTACATAATATTTTTAAGTTGTGATGTTATTTAAATTTAACAAATTTTGTTAAATTTAAATAACATCACAACTTAAAAATATTATGTAATCCTTTTTAGAGTAGTTAATATTTTGTTATTTTACAGATCCCTATTTAAAATCGTTTACTCCTATTACCCTAAAATTCTCAAATGTTCCTGTAAAGACATTAAGAATATTTATTTCATTTAAAATCCTTCCTAGAAACGCTAATATTTGTATGGCTCGTATTAGCTTCATAAAACTAACCCACTACCACTGCCGAAAATAAAAATTGATTGTAATCGAGATTAATTGCAGGCAAACGCATAAGGCATTATTTCCGAAACGCTAGTTTTGCCCATTACGATACGTTTAAAGCCAACAAAACCCTTTGCATTGCTTTATTTTTATTTTTCTGACCGTACATAAAAATTTATGATATTGACGCTTTTTTCTATCTTTCCAATTGAATACGTGATTTATTTGGGTATTTGCTAGAAATTATAGAAAAAAGTTTAATTATGTACTAATATTTAATTTTTAATCAATCGACGATAAATAATTATTAGTCTTGTATTAAATGTTAAATATTTTTTTGTTTAAGTCTAAGTTTAAGTCACTTTTTAAAATTTAATACGATAGTCTTTGACTTAAGTCAAAAATTAAAAATGTATAAACATGTACAAAATGCAACAAATGTCAAAATGATGTATTATTTTTTAGGAAATTTCTTACATTTTAAGTAATATTCATTTATTAATAAAATAAATGAAATAAAATATAATTTATATATTTTTTTATTTGCTTCTATTTCATTTTAATTTATAATATTTAATCAATTCATCGGATTAAAAGAACCAAAATATCTTGTAAAATGTACATTGCAGAGCAAACAAAAACCTAAGTAATTTATAATACATTATAAGTACTTTATAATACTTGATAAAAATAATAAATCTTCCTTTATTGGATCAACGTTGCAAATTTTTATAAACTTTTTAATAAAGCAATTTTAATTACACGAAAACCTATTTAAAAAAACTCTAGAGGTACCGCTTTGAAGCTTATCTGATTTTTTTTCGCGTAATACTCAAGCGAATCTTTAATTAAGTAATTACGGATTTCTTTTACGAGCCAAATTAGCAAAACCTCTTTGAAAACAACGCGAAAATAAACATACTAATATTAGTATCATCAGCACCGTGGTAATTGGATTTGTTCTGGATTAAAAGCCTTAGTTGTAACGGAGGAATAAGGTCGCACGTGTCATGGATATGTCAAGTTTTGAAACCTTGTAATCCGTATATTACGCACGTGCATACGAAACATTTTGTCCACGAAAATAAGTTTTTTTGTAGTTGTTATTTTGGACTTTTCCTAATCTTTTGTTGTTAAAAACTAATTCACACCTGTAGTATGTAAGTTTCCTCGATTTACAAACAATTTAAATAATTTAAAGTATATTAAACATAACCTAGAAACCATGCTAGAATTCATTTGTTATTCTTGACAAATCTGTTATAACATCGTGACGTCACGATGTCTCTTCAAGGTCATCGAAGCAAAGGAAACAAATTTTAATAACAAACTCGTATGTGGATATTTCAACCCCATTAATTATAAAAATTAAACTAAGTTACGAATCAGCGCTTGCCGGAGCACCATTCTGATAACGATGCTAATTGAAGATAATAAGAATATATGATGGAGGGGAAAATAAACAGTAATCATAATTCGGCTGTGGTCATCATGACCACACGAGGGTGGTTAAACAATAATAAAAGTACAAATCTACGTAAAATTAATAATAATAATGCGTTTTTAAAATATAGGGACAAGGTTTTACTTTTTCTGTACTTTGTAAGTCAAACATTACAAAACAGATTTATTTAGTATGTGGATTTTATTGTTAAAGTTCTCTATACCTGGTTGTGACAGTTCTGCCTCTGATCAATAGATGGCGCAGTCGTTCAGATAAAAAAACAGTCTTGTATATTTTCATATTCTTAATTTAAAAACATATTTACTGTATGAAATGTCAATTTTTAGTAAACATTTTTTTCTTTTTATTATCTTTTTGCATTTACATATAAAATTTTAAACCAAACTATAAAAGTAACAGGTCTATACAATGTGTCCCAGAACTCGCGCCACAGAGACAAAGGATAAGCAAGATAAGAATAAAAAACGATAGCCAATCCCAATACATGGGCCATAGGAAATTCTTTAAATTGCTAGGATACTTAGGATTTTATGTTTTGTTTTCCTCCTCTAATTTTGCCAAAATATGAAGATTATTTAGCGCTTTCACAATCGTCCATGGAATGTAAAGTTGTAACGAAATTGAAGGTGCTCCTTAACGTATTAGAACAGCAAAAAATAAAGAAGCTATTTTCAATGTTTTTAATAAAAATAGTAGAAAGAGCATCGATAGTGTAATTCTGTAGTGGTTGCTAGAGATTTTGGCTCGCGAGCGGGTACAGAACTAGTTCTTTAATTTTCCTTTTTAAAAGGTAAGTAAACACAGTCGGATAAAAGATTTAAGACAACAATGTTCTATCGTCTCCTAGCAATTTTTACAGCTCCTAAGTTTAACCTAGGCGAGAGCTTTTGGTATTGGCTCTTATTTGATTACATCATTACATCATTTGGAAAAAACTAGATGTCAAAACTCACTGCTTTTCAGTGTTTTATCCTTAGTTTAAATCGAGTTTTTCCTATTTTTTTTTTCAATAATGCGTTAACTTCTTTAAGTATTGACATTTTGACTTGCTTAAGAAACCAATATGGGTTGCCAAGTGTACTCATCTCATTTTGGAAAAGATTAACATATCAACTTTTTCCTAAACGTTGCAGATTTCTCACTAAAACCAAGTACCACTCTTCCCCTTCTAAACCCTTTTTGAATTTTTTAAATATTTTTTCTCCTTTCGAGAAATCCTTAGTTAAAAGGATTTCGAAGAGGAAGAGTAGAATTTTTAGATGGCATAACTAGTTTTGTAGAAAAAATATTTTTTTTAACTTTTGGGTTGAAATTTCTCAGCAACCTAATGGAGAAATTGTTTTTTTTTAATCTCTTCTCTTAAATCAGTTTTGTATGGATGATTTATTATCTTACCATATTTTTTTGTTGTTTTTTAATTTTGATGACATTTCGTCAATTTGAGGATGTGGTTAGGAGTTGGGTGTTTGGATTTGAATAAGACAAGATTAATTTTTTAAAATGGAGAGAGCTTTACTTGTGTAACATAGCTGACATGACACATAGTACCTATACATACACGGGGCTGAGTATTACACCGATACAAGATATAATGAATTTATTTACAGATGTATAGTCGGTATAGTTAGGGCGGTGTCTTCCTACTAATAAGGCATGACAAAAGGGTCGTGAAAAGGCCAAAAAACAATACAATAAAATCAATAAAAATCATATTAATGACAAATAGGTAAACAATAATAATAATAATAATAATAGTTAAAAACATAACGATACATACACTCCCAGGAACTGCAAGGGACAGGGCCTAGCAATAGCCCCATAGATTAATTTTCAGTCAAGCGATGCAAACATAACAAACGCCATAACGCGCCCGCGCGGTGTGGCCAGGGTTCCGACCCAAGGGGTATCGCCAGCGATCTCAAGGTCGGACGCGCCACCACTGCTGCACCTTCTCGGTCAGCTTCCTGCAGAGGCCCACCAGCCTCCGTCACATCGGAGCGCCCTCCTCGCTCTCCCCGTCTCCCTCCTCCAACGTGACCTGGAACCTGATGCCGGGCCGTTGCGCATCGGCGGCCTCCTCGGCCGGCGGGCTGGGCGGGATCGCGCTCTGATACCAGTCGCGGTTCTCCTCCAAAGTGTCGAGGATATCCTGGGCGTCCGGGTGCACCAAGTCGGCCCACGTCTCCCACAGCGGGTGCACGATGTAGTCGATGAAGCCGACCTGCGATTTTTCTATGGTGGCCGACAAACGGTCGCACATCGGGCTGATGTCCATCTTGGCCTCCCTCTCCTTGTCGCCCTGCTGGAAGAACTCCTCCATCAGCAGATCCACCCAGCGCTTGTACAGCACCAAGGGCTTGGTGGGGTTGCTCAGGTCGGCGCAGTGCACCAAGTTCTCCAGCACTTGGATGCGGTCGGTGTAGTTGTCGAGCAACAGCACGCCCGAACCGGCCACTTTCTTCGTCTCGACCATCGTCTTCAAGTCCGCCAAGAGACTCATGTGCTTCGACATGTCTGTGCTCAAAACCATATCTATCACCATCTTGCGCAGGGTCTGCCTCTGTTTCCTTGATAAATTAATAAACATGTCGCAACCCTCGTTAGACAACAACTTGAACGCGACGGCTAAATGATGATTCTCCAAGACACTCTCATCATTGTACATCAAAGCTAATTCAGAACTGGAGTTGATCAAGAACTGATTGGTCAAACCAGGATGATCGACGTCGTGTATGCAGGCGGCAAACAACGCTGCGGTTATCTCCAAAGGAGTGAAAACGCTCTCCAAAGCGGGAGTGTTCAACAGCACGTGCGTGCTTTGCGTTACATCGGCGGCGTGCAACGAGTTGTGAAACGGATTGTCCTTGCAGTAGTGATCCTCGAGCGTCATCATGAAAGTGATGAAGGTCTTCGGCGGGATCATCATGTGCTTCATCAAATCCCTGCTGGTGAACGTCGTGTAAGCGACGCACGTCAACGGCCTGCCGTTGCTCATCTCGCCGATGCGGAAGATGTCGATGCCCCATCTGTCGATTTCGCCCAGGCATTTGCCCAAATCCTCCTCGAACGGGGTCTCCACTCCGTGAGTGGGCAGACGCTCGCCGGTGAAGGAGTTTGTGTGACACAACTTCCTGTTGACGCCGGAAATTTGGGACATGGTGGTGTGCGCTCCGCGGGTTCGCTCCTTGTGTTGAGCCTGTTTGGGGGCTTCTTTTTCTTCATCTAGGCGAAGGGTTGGTATATCTAACTCTTGCTGTTTGTCTGTAAAGAAAAAAAAAACATTGGATCAAAGTTCATCAAATGTTAGAAGCAGAATGTAATGAAATTTTGCAAGCTTATGTTCTTCTAAAAATGTACACTCTTAAAATGAAAAAGTCAATATTCTACTACTTGTTTATTAGTAAAATGGTCGTAAATAGTTTTTTTCCTACTTAAGTAGTTGAAGTTTGACTAATTTAAGATAAGTGACTATTTCTAAAAGTAAAAAGTAACTAATTTCTTTATCCGTTCATTTTTGAAGCCAACAATAAATTATTGTTAGAATTAAATGCATATAGGTTCCATGATTAAAAAGCCCTTGAAAACAAACAGAGATGGAAAAAGTTTAGCTAGAAAACAGCAACACAAAAAAAAATTTAGCATTAAAATATTATTAAAAATGTTTATATACAGTGGGTCGCACTTAAGATGAAGACACCCCCATATTTTCTCTATTTGAAGGAATAAAGGTTTGAATTTTTTCACATTCATACATGTTGATGGGTCATATTTTTTAAGCTACTCAACTGAAATCTGAACTTTAAACTTGGCCTACTACAAATTCACAAACAGGGCCAGTTCTCGATATTTTGCTTTGCGTTAGAGATATCGCAAAAAGTTATTGGAAAAAGTTGTTCAGAATATTATTCTAACCCCATATACCAATTTTTATAACAAAATTCGCATTTTTAATTTTTTTTTTATTTTGGTCCACACAAAATTATTACAAGTTCATTTTTTAGTTTAATAATAAGGGAGCCATGGAAAGTAATAATTTGATACTAACTATTGCTTATGACCGATAAATAAATAATTAAAACAATTTTTGGAAATTACAAATCAATTATAATTTATTAAATTAAGGAAATGGTATAAAACAATAATAACACTAATAAAAATAAATAAATTAGAAATGCGAATTTTGCTATGAAAATCGGTAAACGCGGTTAAAATAATATTCTGAACAACTTTTTCTAATAATTTTTTTCGATATTTCTAACGCGAAGCAAAATATCGACAACTGGCCCCGTTTGTGAATTCGTAGTAGGCCAAGTTCAGATTTCAGTTGAGTATCTTAAAAAATGTGACCCACCAACATGTATGTATGTGAAAAAATTCAAATCTCTATTCCTTGAAATAGCGAATATAGGGATGTCTTCGTCTTAAATGCGACACACTGTATATATATATATATATATATATATATATATATATATATATAAGTGACAGTAGAGCACCAGTTTGACATCCGCTTGACAATAGACAGACCCGAGTTCAAACCGTGGCTGAGTCAATACTTTTTTAAATTTAAATCTACTAATTTGACTAATTATTAGTGACTAATTAGTTATTTTTGAATTCATTTTTAGAGAGTATACATTTTAAAATATTAACAAAATCTTTACTAGGAGATTAAATTGCATTTACTTCTACCTGATCTGACAAGGCTTTAGATTGGAACACTCTATTTAAGACTTTTTCAAACTATTACAATTTTCTTGCAAAACCCATTAATCATTAAAATGTCAGGTTCAGAAACAACCAAATTATTTGCGGAACTTACCTAAGAAAGTAGAACAAATATATTCTGATATCTGGTTTCCTGATTTGCTGGACTCTGAGAAATGGGAGAGCTCTTTGTTCAGCATGCGTTTAAACTGCAAAGAAAAAACAAATTAGAAACAATATAATTTTTGTAAACATTACATTATTACACCATGTTTAATGATCATGGATAGACACATGGTGGATTATTCTTAATAACAATTAACCACCCACAAAGGCGCCGGTGATCGTCCTACTGTCTAGTTTGACTGTAATTTTTAACAGTATAAAAATTGTAAAGATAAAGTTAAGACTGTTAATCCTGGCTTAAACGTCAACTGATAATTTTTTGATGAAATTACGCACGTTTTCTTTATGTAAGAAAAGTAATTACCGTATCCAATTACAAGGTACAATATTTGTAATTAATATGCGCCATATATGGTAAATGGGCTCGAAAAATTGCAGGTAATTGCTTTAATGTGTCAATATTAGTAATGAATATTCATTCAATCAATATACACTGACGTAGATTTTAAACCGGTATAGTAATAATAATTTTGCACCCTAATATTTGCGGAAAATTTGTATATTCACCTTTATCTCTGCAATAGCAGCGGTCAGAGCTATATCTGCCATTATGTTTAACCAGGGTAAATTCTCAAAAAGTCTATCAGAATTGGGCGGGATTCTTTCCAAAATTTCTTCCGAATGCGCACGTTTTAGAACCCGTCTACGGGTGTCTGGAGTTTCACCAGATGAAAACATCGTAAACAAATCACTAATTTGTCAATGGTCACTATATTGCACCAATACACTCGAAAATCACTATGTAATAATATATAAACAGCAATGGTCTCTACTATCAATAGTATCAGTAGTAGTAGTTTACTGTGTGAAAGTCACACTTGAACTGGCCTAGTGCGCTAACCGGCGCTACTTAAATACTTTTGCCGCGTTGTTCGTTTGTTTAGCGCGGATCCCGGGATACCGTCCGCCAACTTCGACTGAGTCACACACGCTGTCAGCAGTCTTGTTTCTTGGTTTTGCGGTTTTTTGGAATTTGTCGTGTTAATTTATGACTTACGTTAAGTTAGAGATTATCTGTTTTTTTTTGTGGAAAAGCTAATTTTACTTTATTAAAAATTTATTTTTTATTACAAAAATCTGTTTTACCAATAATTAATATTTTTTGCTGTTTTTTTGGTTTTTAATACTTTGAAAAGATTTTTTTATAATCTATTAATTCTTATTTATTGTTACATATTATGCACATTTCAATTTTTGATTTAAATTAATGTTTTTAAAATAATTTAATTTTAATTATTTATTTTTTTAAAACCACTTTTACCATATTTACTCTTTTTAAGAAAACACACTGTTTGTAAATTATCAAAAATTTACTGATTTTTTTTTATTTTTGCTAATTTAATAAAAAATTAAAAGAAAATTTTAGAGCAACATTTAAGAAATTGTTAAGAATATTATATTAATATTTTTAACCATTTAGGATTTTATTTTATTTTCAGTTTTTCTTTATTTTAATTTCTTATTTTACTAATTACTAGAACATACATATATAATGTAGGTATTACAAATTTGTTTGAACTTAATTTTAATTTATTTTTTATTTTTTTAATTATAATTTATAAAATAACTTAACATAACTTATTATTTTATTACATTTTTTATATTTTTTAATAAATACTTTACAAGCGGTAAATATTTTAGATTTTGAGACACACAGCGTTGCCAAGTGTAAATAAAAGCCTTATTTTTTTATGCAATATGGTAAATACCGTTGACCTATTAAATAGGTCAAATTTTGTTTGCGACTCACCCTTGTAAAATCTTTATTTATTGTGCGATTTTAACCGGATTTGTTTTAAAGTATAGACCTTAATAAATAATAAAACGCCATATTTTTACCAAATACAAGGCCTTCTATGTCAGTTTTTAAGAGTAAATTTTTAAGAATTCATATTAGCGATTTTTTTAAACAAAATCTAACCACGGCACTGGATTCAACACCCCTCAAAATGACCCTATGCTAAATTTTATTGAAAAATTTTTAGTAGAAAAATGCACAATAACTACAAAAATTTATTTTGTCAAGTTATCCATAAAAAAACATTGAAATAAAATTAAACTATTACTATAAGTTTAATTTTATTTTAATGTTTTTTTCATGGATAACTTGACAGAATAAATTTTTGTAGTTATTATTGTGCATTTTTTTACTTAAAATTTTTCAATAAAATTTAGTAAAGGGTCCTTTTAAAGGATGGTGAATCCAGTGCCGTGCTTAGATTTTGTTTAAAAAAATCTCTAATATAAATTCTTAAAAATCTAAAAACATAACATAGTAGGCCTTATATTTTGTACTAATATGGCATCTTTTGCTCCAAAAATACAATTTTTTTTTAATAAATACTTTACAAGAAGTAAAATCCTTATTATGTGTTTTGTTGATTTTATGGCAATATGGTAAATATATAAAATATTACATCAAGAATAAACTCAATAAAAAGCCATTTTATTGATAGATTCCATAACGCATTTTATTGTAATATTTTATGTTTCATAAAATAAAAATATTTCAATATTTTTTGCAACTTTTATTACTCATAGAAAATTGCACAACTGCTTACAATAAAACATCTGTTAATTTAAATAAAACATTATGCGCAGGATATAGGTAATTGTTTTTGTTTTGGGTCATTACGAATAAAATTTGCCGATACGGCGAATTGCCCCGATACGTCGTATTACTCATAAAGAAAAATATGTCAACTATTATTTAAAGCATCCAAAAATCTATTACTTTAAAACCTAATATTTTTAGATTATTTGCATGTTTTCGTCGATTACACAGAACCTCGTGGAGTGTTAAAAAATAGTTTGAAGTGTTTTGACAAATATTTTTAAAGTTATAATTGATATGAGTTAAACATTTGTTCATAACAATGTTTTATCTATTTGATCTATTTAAATTAAAACTGGGTTTATAGCTGATTAAGCGTTTGGTGGATTTTTTTAAATTTTATCCCTAAGGGTGTAAATTGTGATACTCCTAAATTTGGTTTTAATCCCGGCGCATTCGCCATTTTTGGCAGGCTAAACGGATTTTAAATTTTGATACTTTATACTATAAACGTGTCTTCGGGTTTGAAATGGGACAAACAGAAGAAACGTCAGTATGTATATATATATATATATATATATATTGTGTTTTATATTTTGTAAATATAACACCCAAAATTATAATATATTACTTTACAAAAAACAGTAATGCGTAGAAAGATATCCGAAAATATATTAAATTAGTCAAACAATAACAATATTGCCAGGAAATAATATATTTTCATAAATTTCTCAGTAAAAACGAAATCGAAATTTCCTCTTTCACCAAAAAAACAAAATTTCCTGAAAACTTTTACGCAAATCCGCGCTGAATGCAAAACAAAAACAAAAGCAGATAAAAAAATCGATTGTCAGTAAACAAAGATTACCATTAATCCCAATAATTAGTGAAATTAAATGCCAAAAGCGTAGGTTTTGTATATTTTAACACCTACAGGTTAATGTAAAGGAATTTACAATCTCAAAAAAATCTTGTAACACTTATCTATGACAGTGAAGAATAATAATAACTTTTACGCACTTGGTTTTTCATCATACGTCGTCTTTTGACCAATATTCGCACACAATATTTTTGTTAACTACCACAAAGATAAATTTGGTTTTGAGGTTAAGTTTTCCTTATTTTGTAGTTTTTTTGGTGGTTGGTGTTAAAGACAATAATAGGAGCATGTAATAGTCATGTCTAAAGGGCTATATTATAATGAAATTGGGCCATTTTTTAACTGATGTCATAAAAAACAATATTAAATTATCTTTTTAACTAAGGTGAACTAAAACAAATATTTGCAAAAAAATCGCGAGCCAATTTAATTTCTGGAAGTATAAAATTATAAAATTCTGCATAATTCAGCTATTTATAAATTTCTCCTAATTCTTAAATATAAAATTTGAAAGTGTATTTTTAAATAATTGCCAACAAAAAAATGTAATGTTATACATGTTTTTTGTTCTCTTTAGTTATGTATATCAAACAAAAGCATGTTTAAAAACATGTTTCCACGAAATGAGTTCATTTGTTTGGTCGAACAAAGAGTTGCCAAGTTTAAGTAATTCTTAAATTTGGATTTGGGATTTTCTATTGAATCGCATTTATTTTAGTTTCAAAAGATTTCCTGGTTTTTCAAATCCGGATAAAAAATTTTAACCAACATTTCACAAATATAAATACAGTGTTATTTTAGAAATAATTTAATATGGTTTAAAATATTTAATTAACTTTTCTAAAATGTTATTCGAAACATTACGAAATTCTTATCGTTAACAAATTAAATATCAATCTATATTTAAATCGATGGGTTTTAAATTAAAACCTTAGACTACTTGATACATAAATTAAACACCCGGTTATACATACATTTTAAAATAATTACATCAAGAACAAAATTTCATTTTAAAATACTTTTATTTACGAATATTTTTTATCGTGCTTAATGATTCTGAAAATACAATTTTTGATTGGTTTATTGATATTTCTTGATATTTATAAACTCACGCGTCAAAAAAATATATAAAAAAACACATTAAAGAATTTTCCCCAATTTATAAGGTATATAAAATAAATATTGAGGGCGCTAGCATCAGGTTGTAAAGGAAAGTCAATTTTCCTTTTTCCTGAATTCTCTTTTACCTTTCAATGCTTACGTCAATTATTTTTATGACCTCGAACCAGTCAAGGGTCGCGTTACCGGGAAATTCTATGAATGTGTTGCCTGGTTAATAATAAAAAGTCTGAATCAATACTGGTTTTTATGTACCTCCAAATGAATAACGCTTTTTGTTATATTAAATTTTTCCTGTTTCTTAAGACGTACGATAAGAAATTAGTGATAGTGGTGAGCAAACTCACATAATTGTAAATCCTGATTATGATCTATCTGCCATTTTTAGATATTATAAAAATTGAATAGGATTTTCCTCATTTAAGTTATTTGTCGCTATTTCTACAATCCCAAGTATAAGTAGGAAAACTGATTACATTAAATTTTCAAGGTTATTTTACGTACAGGAGAAAGAAAAAGTCTTCATACCCAAATCCTATTAACAAATGCTGTCTTATGTAATTAATAATTTCTTTAAAAATTAAAAACTTGGATATGCATATTACTTACATTACTAAATAAAATTAAATGTATAATAGGATATTATGTATCAAGTTTGATAAACGCCAGTTTAGTCACGAATTCAATTTAGTCACGAGCAAGCTTGCCAGCGAGTGCTTAATTAAATGAGTGCCTAGAAAAGTTTATAATCGAGTTGTATACAATACTTTTTCTACGACAAATACTTAATATTAGCTAAAAAAATTAATAAAATTAAATATTTGTATAAAGCAACATCTATACGAAAATAAAGTAACCATCCCCATAAACCAATTTTTGACGTTATTTTCACCATTAACATTGCCTGTTATTATTTTTATTAAACTTACCAATTATTGATACTTTAAAATATTAAAATAACTTTTAAATATGATTATGTTAAAAAATATTTTATACTTTGATTTTTTTAATACTATAATTGCAAAATATTATTACAAAGTATTAAAAATTCTTACATGTATCAATATTAAAAGTAAACTATTTTATTTTTGTATTGGGATAATAATAGTTACTTATGTCATTAGG